CGGGAAGTGACTTAACTTAGCTGAACTATTTTCGTCTGTAGAGCGAGGGGAAGGGACCCCGCTTTCTAGGCTGGTGGTTGGGATAAACGAGCTGATGTAAGCGCTTAGCACAGGGCCTGGCCTGCAGTTACTACCCCGTTAATATTTGTGTTTTATGGCTTTGGCCTTGGCGTTGGTTCCCTGTTAACACTCCCACGGGTTGATTCACCTCGCAGCCCACATACAAGTAGACTTGGGCTGTTTGGGGAACTACAGACACCCCCCCACCCCCAACCAGCACCCTCACTCCCAACTGGCCCAGAGTCCTACCTAAAGGGACTTACGCCCAGGACGTCACTGGGCGTAATTAAGTGTATTAGAGGCAATTGTCTTTTTCCGATTTCTCCACCTTGTGGGAGCCCTTTGCCCCCCACACCCAGTTGTACTAAAGCTGCTTGTCCAGCTCCTCCCAGTTCTCACCACCCCCACAGCCAAATTCCTTCCCAGACTCTGCCGCCCCATCTCTGTGCAGGCTGCAGGCTGGACACTGAACCTAGCTGCCTGCAACTGGCCTCACTTCCGCTGACCCCTGCCTACTGCTCCCCACGCTGGACAAACAAACAAAAAAAAAGGCCTCAGTACACATGGGGGAGAAAGCTCACCTCACAAAGAATCAATACGACTAAAAATAGGACCAGGAGAGAGCACTTCACCCACTGAATCAGGAAAGGTGAAGGGGGGAAGTCCTGACGTAGCAAGAGTAGTTACTGAGCCGAGAGACATACATACACTGCTGGGGGCATAAACATTGACGGAATCTTCTGAAAGCCATTTCGTAATGTAAGATCAAGAACCTTTTAAAAATTCATTTGTTTGACCCAGTAATCTCCTTTTCCAGGGGATTGTGCTTCTAAAAAGAGCTGCCAGTGCCTGGCCGGTGTGGCTCAGTGGTTGAGGGTTGAGCATCGACCTATGAACCCGCAGATCGGGTTTCCAGGCAGGGCACATGCCCCAGTAGAAGGCATCATTGATGTCTCTGTCTCTCTATCCCTCTCTGAAATTAATAAATATATATATATATATATATATATATATATATATTTTTAAATAATAAAAAGAGCTGTCAGAAAAACATGCATGAAGTTGTTAGTCACTGCAATGGTTATCACACGAAGGGCTGGCCACTTAAAGGCGGGACAGTAGGGATGTTCAAATAGGTCACAGACATACAGTGAAATACAGCCATTACAAATGCTTCTCGGAGAATGTCTTACCCAGCTGGAAATGTGTGCAATGTAAAGTGAAATGAAAAAATGGATGTTAAAATCGGTGCACATGGTATGGCCCTAATTGCGTGACATAGGAAATAAACGCACCAAAACATTCACAAATGATTCCCTGTGAGTGGCAGAATTATGGCTTGTATTTATTTTCTTCTTTCTACTTATCTGCATTTAAAAATGATCATATTCATTACTTTTATAATCAAGGGAAAGGGAATAAAAACCAAGTCTGTAACGATCTTTAACAGCCTCCATCCCCCACTCCCAACGGACACTCCTGAGTCTCAACCCCAGACTAAACTGGTCTTGGAGCCCTTAGCATTTCAAGGCTGTTGGGCTCCCAACAATAAATAGTAAAATACGTTTTAAAATTAAAAATCAAGCACCAGGTAACCCCGTAGAATGCCAACTATATTCTGATACAATGCAAATTTCGACATAGTTTTAAGGGGTGGTGCCTTGCATTGGGCCAGGTCTCTTTAGGATTCCCCCTTAATCCAGACCTACCTACCTAAGCAGCCCATAGTTTACAATCCCTGCCTCCACCTACCCAGGCAAACCGGTTCACTAGTCCCTTCACGCTCCTCCCTAGTCCCACGTGCAACACACCCTTCACCCTGTCACCCTCCCCATTTCCAGGCCATCTGGTGAGCTGTCTCTGCTAGGAAGTCTGCCCTGATTACAGCTAAGCATCAATCTCCCCACCTACACACACCAGCAAGAATCTCCGTGGGATGTCCCTGTCTGCGTGGAATAGAGTTTGGGAAGTGAAGGAGTGAGCCATCCCCGATGGCCTGGGCTTTTTTCATGTTGGGGCGTCAATGTTGTCTTGGCACCTCTGGGATCTCACCCCAGCTCTAAACACAGCTTCCTCCCCTCCTAGCCCGTTCACCAGATGGCTCCTTACATGGCCTGCCAAGCCCCAGGCCCCCCTGACGGTGTGCTCCTTCATTCCCCCAAGACCTGCTTCTCTGAGCTCCGTCTGGCCTGAGCTCAGTGTGACGTCAGCCTTCCGTCTGGGCTGACCACCCTCTGCAGATATGAGACTCGGCAGAGAACACGTTCGGCCTCAAGAAGATCCTGGGCCAGCACCATCTCTCAAACCATACTCTATGCCTAGATCCTTCTGGAACCAAGCTATTCAGCTCCAGTTTCCCAGCTTGTCCCAGCAGCTGCCCACCCCCATCCCAGGCACCCAGCATTGTTTATGGCACCTCGCAGCTGTGTCCATTTGCGCTTGTTTATAAGTCTCCCACGAGTTTTAGCCAAACACTTTGTCCTTCAAGCCCTCACTGGCTAGCCCCAATTTCCCTTTCCTGTCCGAAGCTCCCAGCCTCCCCTCCACCTCACTCTTTTCCTCCATCCAGTCACATCAGACCTCCTAGGCTTCTCTCTTTTTTTTAAAAAAAAAAAAATTTTTTTTATTGATTTCAGAGAGGAAGGGAGAGGGAGAAAGAGATAGAAACA